GCGCATCTGCAGCTTCTTTCTTCTGATCTTTTCTCTTCTGACTCTTCTCACCTCTGCTTTTCAACTGTCCATATTGTCGGAAGTTTCACTTCTAAACTTCCTTCGATTAGATTCCATCAGGTTCCATTAGATTCCATTAGATTCCATCAGGTTCCATCAGGTTCCAAGTTTACATCACTTTACGACATTTCACCGCAGATGCTGAATGTCAAGGATTGGTCCATGTTGTGAACAGGGCATGGTTTTGGATGAACCTTATGGTAGGCCTAAGATTGCTATTGCATCCTGCGCGTCTACTTCGTTGGGTTGGCTCCATTTGATGCTGCAACCTGGCCAAAGACAAGGCATTTTGAGGCATCTTGAGGCACGACATCAATATTTTGCAACAAGACTTTACTCATACTTCAGTCATTTGCTCCTCAGTTGCACATCCATTATGTCTATTTATGTCGAGCTGAGCTCAGGTTTCTGTGCGGATTTGTTCTTGGTTTCCCTATGTAGATTTCAGACGGTCAGTATCGGCTGAGCCAGAAAATGTGCGACGCGGTGAAAAGCGCCAGCGTCTTAGCTAGGTCCTGCTAGGTGTTTGAAAATGTTTGAAAAGTCTCACGCTGATTTCTTGCCTCGTGCGAGTAAGTCAAAACGTGCTCACCGCAACACAAATTGAGTTGGGTTCTCTTTTTCCCGAATGCGTAGCAAGGGTTCCCGTTTCACTCTGGGGGTCTGGGGGTTGAGGGTGTGTTCGCTTGACGCTGCGTTTGTGGTCGCAACCGTCCGCAACCGTTCGCAACCGTCCGCAACCGTCCGCAACCGTCCGTGTGAGGACCGTATGGCCGTGCCTATGGTAAGTTCTGCAGGAGGGATCATTTTTGGAGGTTTCAGACGTCGGGTTGCTTCGTTTCGCGTGGCAGGCGTGGCACTTCGTGACATTCAGAGGTGTTTTGTAACGTGTCGAAAGTCGTTTTGTGTGGCAGGCGCAATACTTTTGCGACGTTTTCACAAGATATGTTGCAGTTTTCGTGGCAGGCGCAGCACTTTCGACGTGTCCATCGTCATTTTTCGTGGCAGGCGCAGCACTTTAGACGTGTCATGTTGCGTGTTTTTTGCAAATCGCATTGGCAGGGCTGCGTCAAGTGGTGACAAGGTGCAAATTCCGTGGCAGGCGTGGCATTTTCTGACATGTGCTGAAAATTGACGGAAGCCTCGCACGAAACATCGATTTTGAGGTTGCAAATTTTCAGGTTCTAAGGAAAACTCGTAGGAAAACGTCGATTTTGAAGCTACAAAGTGTGAAAATTCGAGGAAGTCTCGCACGAAATGCTCGTTTTGGTGCTCCCATCTGTCTCGTCTCGAGTCTCTGGTTTTCCCGTGGCCTCGCCGCGTCTATGGGGGAAGCTGCAAAACTTGTCCTTTTGTCATGTTGCCAACTGTGAAAATTGGAGGAAGTCTCGTACGAAATGTTTGTTTTTCTGCATCCACGTGTCTTGTCTCGAGTCGCTGGTTTTCCTGTGCCGTCGCCGTGTCTATGGGGGAAGCTGGCAAACCTGTCCTTTTCGAATGTTTCCAAGCAGGTTGTCATGTCGTTTTGCGTGGCAGGCGTGGCACTTTGTGACATTCCAACCTGTTTGATAACGTGTGGAAAATATCAAAATTGGAGGAAGTCTCGCACTAAATGCTCGTTTTTTTGCATCCACGTGTCTCGTCTCGAGTCTCTGGTTTTCCTGTGGCGTCGCCGAGTCTATGGGGGAAGCTCCGCACTCCACACTCTACACTTTACACTCCGCACTCCACAATTTACACTTTAGACTCCACACTCTACAATTTACACTCCACACTCCGCACTTTACACTACACACTCCTTACTTTACACTCCACACTTCACACTCCACACTTTCCACTCCACACTCCACACTTTACACTCCACACTTTCCACTCCACACTCCACACTTTACACTCCACACTCCACACTTTACACTCCTCACTCCACACTTTACACTCGTCACTTTACACTTTACACTCCACACTCTACACTTTACACTCTACACTTTACACTCTACACTCCACACTCCACACTCTACACTTTACACTCTAAACTCCACACTTTACATTTTACACTCCACACTCCACACTCTACACACCACACTCTACACTTTCCACTCCACATTTCTCACTCCACACTACACTTTACACTCCACACTCCACACTTTACACTTTACACTCCTCACTCCACACTCCCCACTTTACATTCCATACTCCACACTCTACACTTTTCACTCCACACTCCACACTCCACACTTTACTGCGCACTCCACATTCCACACTTTATACTTTACACTCTTCACTCCACACTCCACACTTTACACTCCTCACTTTACACTCCACACTCCACACTCTACACACCACACTCTACACTTTAGGCTCCACACTCCACACTCCACACTTTACACTCCACACTCCACACTTTACACTCCTCTCTCCACACTCCACACTTTACACTCCACACTTCACACTCCACACTTCACACTCCACACTTTCCACTCAACACTCCACACTTTACACTCCTCACTCCACACTTTACACTCCACACTTTACACTCCACACTCTACACTCCTCTCTCCACACTCCTCACTTTACACTCCACACTTTACACTCCACACTTCACACTCCACACTTTCCACTCAACACTCCACACTTTACACTCCACACTTTACACTCCTCACTCCACACTTTACACTCCACACTCTACACTCCACACTCCACACTTCACACTCCACACTCTACACTTTCCACTCTACACTTTCCACTCCACACTCCACACGCTACACTCTACACTCCACACCCTGCACTTTACACTCTACACTTTACACTCTACACTTCACACTCCTCACTTTACACTCCACACTCCACACTTTGCACTTTACACTCCTCACTCCAGACTCTGCACTCTACACTCCACACTCCACACTCTACACTCCACACTCTACACTCCACACTGCAGGCTGTTAACAAGGGAAACATGTACAAGACTGTTCAAATAAACTATTGCAGAAAGCTATTGTGCGTCACTGCATAACCATGTGTATTGACATCTGTACCATTAACATACGTGTGAACATTCGGGTTCGTGGGCTTCATCTTGTTCTGTGTCTTCCTCTTCTGTTGGCGGGCGTCATCCCTTTGCCCATTTATTTAAGCATGTTGCGCAGCTTTCTGGCTCCATCAGCAGATGTAGACGCTCGTTTGTAGCCCCTCCGCATTGGCTTCACAAAATCCTTCTGTGCTTGGCAACCTTGACTAAGTTCCATCAACAACCGAAAATTAAATCCATGCACGTAACCGACACACATAGTTAGGACGTTAGGTCATCCATAATGAAGAAAAAAACAACAGTCGAACAGCAAACCACGACAGAATCATGACAGCAACGCAGACTGCATCATAAGCAAATGTTTCAATGTTTCAACAACTTATTCAAAACCCTGGTAATTTTTAGATAGTCGCTCTAGTAGGAAGCTTGGGTTCAGGGATGCTCCATTACACCAGGTACTCCATAAACAGAACATGCAACCATTAGTCGTATGGCCACAAACTGCAGAAAAATTGACACTTGTGAAAGAAGCTTTCAAGGGAGCCATGGGAAGCTGCTGCAGCAGTGAATTTGAGGAGCAACTGTGACACAAGTTGCGTTTGCCCATCTTGTCGAATGCCTTTAAGTTCTGAATGGTCATGCCCAAATCAAAATGTAGGGTTTCTTTCGAATGGTGACAGTCTTTTAATTTGAAGAAAAAAGTACTTGGCATTTTGAGTGGTCAGCGGCAGTGCCTGCCAGGAAGAATTTGAAATCGAGACAGATGACGAGTCCAAGACAGTGAGACCAAACCCTGCCTTCCGACATTCCCAGCTGACCCCCGTGACGCAATACGTTGAGGCATCCTGAGCCTGTATGGGGCATGGGGATTTCCAAGATTTGGTACCCCAAATTATTTTCAGAGATCTGGAAACGTAAGAGACCAGGCAAGGGTTCCTAGATTATGTTGCGATGCTTTGGTTCGATGATGTTCCTCTATTGGGCCAACTTGCGGATAGTTTGTGCGTATGTCGGGTCACCACAGACACGATGCTTTTCCGGATGTGGGGGCGGCTGGGAAAACTATATTATATTTGGCAAATTTGGGCCAACTTGGGGGCAGCCGGGGAGTGCACATGTGCCTTGAACTTCTGGGGCTATATATGTACATATATATATACATACATGTTGTCCTAAATTGCTACGGAGATCCGACTTAGGTCAAACTTGGAATTTCGGGTGCGCGGGATTGGGGTCTGGTAGCTGAATTCATTATCGGCAATGTGGCTATAGGTTAGAGCCGATTCTTCCATATCCGCCGTGTTTATTTATTTTCACCGCAGGCCCAGCCACAGGGTGTCTCCGGCGGTGCTGCCGGAGCGGGCCTCAACCTCCCCAGGCGATGTGGAGTTTGACTCGTTTGAGATTTTCACATGCCTTTACCAAACTTGGGCTCACCATATGGCGAACCAGGTCAGTTCAAGTTTGTCTTGGCCACAATGGCCGTTTTGCTGTTGACTTGATTGCTACTATTTCCTTTTCTGAGGAACCAAACGAAGATGTTGTGAGGCTACAGCATTGGCACACCAACGAATGGCTTCATGTTGTTTAAATTTGGATGATTTTGGAGGCATTTGGTGGCTTTGACAATGTGGTTGATCATGGTTTTTTACACCCCGCAGTTCTGAATCGGCGCCTTTTGCATCCTTTGGCACCATGGCCATATACCGTGTTTTCAAACTTCACCCTCATGCTCAGAGAGCGCCCTAAGCAAGCGCAATGTAGGGAACTTGTCCGTCAACGATGCAGCTTCCATAGCCGCCAAATTGGAAACCGGCATTGTGCACTTCCGTTCGCCATAATTCTAGCTTGATGTTTGCTGGAGATAGGCAGCCAGGGAATTATCATGTTCACAGCATTGGTAAACAATCTTAAAAATGTGTATATGCTGGGGAGCTGCAACCCCCCCTCCCCCTGATGGTCATGGTCCCTCTCACCCCCCTGTGGTTGTGGTGTGATGCTATGGTGGTGGTGGTAATTGTCAATTGTAATAAAGGTAGAAGTAGAAGTAGTAGTATATAATAGTAGTAAGTAGTAGTAAGTAGTATTAAGTAGTAGCAAGCAGTAGTAACTAGTGGTAAGTAGTGGTAAGTAGTAGTAGCAGGTTATAGCCCCCCTGCCCCCCCTGTGGTTGTGGTGTGGTGCTATGGTGGTGGTAGCTGCAATAAATAGAGGTAGAAGTAGTAGTGTATTATAGTGAGTAGTAGTAAGGAGTAGTAAGCAGTAGTAATTAGGGGTAAGTAGTAGTAGCAGAAGTAGTGATATAAGTAGCAAAGTAGTAAGAAATAAGAAGTGAGTTCAGGTAGAAAGTATATAGGTAGTGGTAGTAGTAGTAGTAAGTAGTAGTAGTAGTAGTAGTAGCAGTAGTAGTAGTAGTAGTAGCAGTAGTAGCAGTAGTAGTAGTAGCAGTAGCAGTAGTAGTGGTAGTGGTAGTGGTAGTGGTAGTGGTAGTGGTGGAGAGATTGTGTAGGCATTCAACATTCCTCATAGTGCCGGCTTACTTGTCTCGGTTGGCTATACCTTTGATGGCCATGGTTCTTGAAAGAGAACTGGAAGGGCATATGCGCAAAAGCGTCTTCCCAAAGCCTTGAGATGATTTGGCAAAGCCGTGAGCTTTGTAATCAAGTAGGGCACACGCACAGATCTTCAGTGGTTAGGAAAAACCCGAAGCGACATACGCAGACCACATATGATTGTATGAATTTTGCGCCTGGTTATTGTTGTTTTTCTGTGTTTGAGATGTGATGCAGTCATATGAAGACGGTCACTGCATATACTTTAGTATCTATGCAGGCTCGAGAGACTAGACTCTACAGACAAGCTATCTATAGTTAGAACCGCGAGAAAAGGTCACGCTATAGCCGTCTTCACAAAAATTTGCCGCTCGCCGCTCGCCAGCATATATGTATATACAGTAATACATGTATACAGATCGATCGATCGATAGATGGACAGATGGACAGATGGATAGATGAATTTAGATAGAGATAGGATACAGTTTATTACGTATAAACATTGTGATTGAAACAAGATGTTGGTCGCGGACCGCGCCCGGCACAGGCTCATGCCGACCTACCCGACAATGCCAGGTTTGTTGGGTAGATGTGGCATGATGTGGCCAGTGTTTAGGGCTGTAAAGCACAGGCAATTGCGGACAATTGAACAGGAAACATCTTTGCTGAAAGCCTTTTGACCCTTTGCGTGTGGTCTCAGAGGCTTCATGTGAAAATTTCCTGGAGGGCATTTTCGATGATATTTTTTCCTTAGGTTGGAATCTCCAAAAATGATCAACACTGATTATCATGGGTCATTGCCGCACAATTCAACATTTGCTGTAGGATTAGTATCGCTACTTCCGTGATGATGACCATCGCCATAATCCACAAAAGATTGATGGGCAACGATCATCACCCCAGTACTACATCCTACTACATTGAATGTTTTGCGCCAAAAACGTTTTATTATTGGTTGACACATCATTATTGATTACAATCCATTATTTTTGGGTTATAATCCACCGTTTTGGGTTGTTATCCAGCATTACAGTCGTACAGATTTTTTGTATCCATGATCCTCCTAATGTCCTCCATTGAGTCCTTAGGTTCCCACAAGTTCCACATTGCCACCCATCCATGTGACGCCAGGTAAGGTGGTTTCTTGGCCGGCCCAGAGGGCAGGACTCTCTAGAGATGGCACTACACAGAGAACTTTGGATCCCTCGCCTCCAGTGTGGGAACTTGTGTTCAACGCGCATGATCCCCTTCTCACGCATCTAGGAGCAAGTCCGACGAAGATCGTTGGACATGTGTGGCTTGGCACTGGGCTGGTTGGTGTGGGAGGCTTTGGCCGGGGTTTGTCGCGTTTCAAAACCATGGAAGATTTTCTGACTAAGCCTGTCTTTGGCGTTGACACCACAGTTTCACAAGAAACGATGCAACATCATGGCCCAGTCTTTGCTTTAGCCTGATTGAGAGAAGTTGCTTCCAACATAAAGATTTTGTAATGCTCAAGTGAGATTCGGGTCATCTCGATATCTTCCACCAAGGACCCCAGAGATCCAATTGAGCATCAAAAAGGCCCACGAGCCCGAAACACGCGCCTACAGCGGAGGCCAGGGATCCAGATTCTTATTTGAGCCATGTCCAAAAAATTGCTTGGCGGATTGTTCTTTTAATTCATTTTGCCTGGCTTAATGGACATCATGTAAATATCCACAATGGGAACCCCTGTTGACCAACTACAAAATTGTGAATAATTCCTGGATGAGAGTTCGAGTGTGCATAGCTGTATGTAGGCTACGGAAGAATGACATGCAGTGTGTACAAAGGTGCATGAATCATTGGTGCATGCATGATCGGTTACCAACCTGTTCGCAAAATTCACAGGTTTGTCAATAGGTTTCTGACACTGCCTAGGCTGTCCAGTGCTGAATGTTGAGATGGTGCAGCTGGAAATCGACCTGGACCGCATCGTCGAAAAATGCCAAAAGATCAAGGCCCTGCAGCTGCAGCGACTGCATTTTGGACCATGCATTGGGGGCCATACTCCCAAGTCTAATAGACCTAAAGGCTTTTTGAGCGGGACATATGCCGCGTTTCTATTTATTTGTTGACATATGTTATGATATGTATGTATTGATTGATTGTTTATTTACAATGATCTATAATTATACACAATCAATATATATATATATATGCGTGCGTGTGTGTGTGTGACAAGAACCGCCTTGCCGATTAGGAAAAGTACATGTACAGTTCAACAGGGTTTGAAAATTCAGAGACCTCAGGAATCACATGTTTGTCCCGAAAGGGCCTTACCGAGTGTGTGTTTTTCCCCACAACTTTGTGTGGGGTTCTTGTTTTTGATTCTGTATCCCGGGCTCCTTCTCCTCCTCCTCCCGCCTCCTTACACATACCATAATAACTTCACACACACAAACTTAACATACAATAACTTCACACACACACACAAACTTCACACACACACACAAACTTAACATACAATAGTCTCACACACACAAACTTCAACTTCACACAAACTTCACACACACAAACTTAACATACAATAACTTCACACACACACACAAAATTCACACACACACAACCTTAACATACAATAACTCACCAACACACACACACACCAACACACACACACACTTGCTCAGAAATATCTTATCGAATTACTGATGTGGAATGCATCGCACGTGCAAAAAACACTCCAGGTAAACCTGACAGGAATGGTTCAATGATTAGAAGTGAGGAACTGTGCGAAGGAAATCTTTCTACGTCTTTGCTCGAAGGATTTTCTGGTTCTGATGCACCTCAGTCAGATAGCGAAAACCGTACAGTTGTTTGGTTTGAAAAAGGTTGAAAAACGACATGCCGGTTCTTGGCTCAGCCGGTTGCCATGGACGAAAATGAAAAAGATTGAGCAGGTACGTGGATTGAGCGTCCCCAATCCATATCACTGTGCAACAGATGCGTCTTCGTTGGATGGAGACATCTGAAGCACACTCCATCCCCCTGCTTCGTTAGAAGTTTTACATCTTTGCAGATGGTTCACACACACACCCTCCCGCAGGAGGGTGGGACATTAAGGTCCCGACAATGAGATGAAAATGAAGAGGAAGGGAAATGAAGATGAGGTGAAGATGACAATGAGATGAAAATTACTTAACCAGGACGCAAAGAGGGGAACGCAAAAGAAGAGGGAAAGAGCAAACACCAACACATGAAACCTAGCCCAGAAAGGGCAACCCTGGAAAGGCAAGGGAAAGAAAAGCGGAGGCCGACGGAAAACGGAACAAGACCAGCGGAGGAGGGGGAGGACAGAAGCGCCTGAACCAACCTGACACGGCGAAAACCTACAACAACCTCAGCACGCAACGGGCCAAACCTACCTGGAGAGAGGAGAACGCAAGAACACATGAAATAGGGACCCATGGGGAACTAGTTAATGACATAATGCATCCACAACGCATGCAAAATTCGTGATAAGGCTCAAAGGCCCTCGGCTTTCACGTCCCAACCCTGTAGACGGCTTAAGTAGTCAACCCTTGAATTACGTGCACAATTTCAACCTCACCGAGAAACCAAAAAAGGAAGTGACCACACCTGGAAAGCATGTCCTGGAGCCTAACCTGATCATGTGACGTTCTGCAAACTGTCGAGCTCCGTACTCTCTTGGGCAGTAATGAAAAAACGGATGTTGTCGCAGCTTCAGGCTATGCAGCAAATGGTCAATCAGAAAAGGTGATCCCAGAGACGGCGGGAGGTTGTTTCAACACAAATCGACATCGACAAATGAGAAAAGGAAAAGGGTGAGGCCCAGTACAGCGGGCAGCAGTTCAACACAACGACATCGACGGGTGAGACAAGGAAAAAAGGCCGGCTGTTCACTTTACTTAAACGAATTACTAATTCAAAAGTGTAAATTCAGACATCGATTTACTGTCCACAGTTAGCCTAGAAAGGCTTTCCCCGAAGGGCTCATACCACCTTGACGGATCCGGCATGAGTCACACACTTGCTCAGAAATATCTTATCGAATTACTGATGTGGAATGCATCGCACGTGCAAAAAACACTCCAGGTAAACCTGACAGGAATGGTTCAATGATTAGAAGTGAGGAACTGTGCGAAGGAAATCTTTCTACGTCTTTGCTCGAAGGATTTTCTGGTTCTGATGCACCTCAGTCAGATAGCGAAAACCGTACAGTTGTTTGGTTTGAAAAAGGTTGAAAAACGACATGCCGGTTCTTGGCTTAGCCGGTTGCCATGGACGAAAATGAAAAAGATTGAGCAGGTACGTGGATTGAGCGTCCCCAATCCATATCACTGTGCAACAGATGCGTCTTCGTTGGATGGAGACATCTGAAACACACTCCATCCCCCTGCTTCGTTAGAAGTTTTACATCTTTGCAGATGGTTCACACACACACACACACACACGCTCCTTTGCGGCCACGAGAGCTGCCCTCAAGTTGCCTACGTTGGCCGCGCCGATTTCCCAGGGTTGCTGATTTTGATTTGCGTTCCCTTGTTTTTCGGAGAAGCCATTGCGACGCTTATTTGATTTTCCTGGTGATTGGAGCCCATCGACATCACGACGACACTTCTTGAAACAACACTGGAGTCCCATTTTTTGCTGCTCACTTTGCATTGGATAATTTTTCAGACAACACGGATTTCTCTGGAGACCTTCTGCCGTGGGGTCGTTTTCTTCACTTGGTATATTCATTCCTTTCAGCAGATTTTGGACAACTGCATTTTCTTCAGATTGTTACAGCGGTACCGATACAAGTGGCTTGCCTGGTCTTGGCATCGCAATTGTGTTCAATCAACGAAGAGGATTCAGATTGCCTTATCTGTTTTGGTCTTTTGGTCCCTGCGGCAAGCAGTCCAACAACAGGATATATTCACATTTGATTTTTTCGAAACACCGGCACATTGTGCATCTCTGGCCTTCTGCGGTGGGGCTCCAAATACTTGCAATCCAGCCTCTTCCAGTTTGACTTTAGGATCATTCCTACCTCATTGCAGAGGCGATCACTGGACGGACTGGCATTTGCAAGTTAACAATTTGGCACTGCACAGAACCTTCTGTAGTGGCGATATAATCACTATTTTGTTCTGCACACTACTGGTTTTTTGGGGAGGGGCCATTTGCGGGCCAATATTGTGGAGCATACACCGATCCTTCTGCAGTGGGGATTTGCATACACTGGTGCCTAGTGCACAGCTGGCTTTCTGCGGTGGGGCCTTCGATTTAATTTTGGGTTTTCAACCACACCGATTCTGCAGCAGTGGGGACTTTGCCACACTGGTGTTTTGTGCATATCTGGCCTTCTGCGGTGGGGCAAACTTCTTTTTGCATTATTTACAACACCGATCCTTCTGCAGTGGGGATTACAATACACTGGCGCCCTTGGCGCGATTGGCTTTCTGCGGTGGGGCCTGCAAAACAATTTTGGATCTCAGCTCCATATTGGGAAGACACCGATCCTTCTGCAGTGGGGACCTGAATACACTGGTGCGCCAAGCACACCTGGCCTTCTGCGGTGGGGCTTACAGAACAATCTTTGTTTTGATTCAGCAGCTACGCAGACTTGGTGGTGACCTCCACAAATTGGTGCTTGGTGTTTCCCTGGCACGCTATTGTGTGGCACTCAGGATTGCCAACTTGCTGACTCCAAACAACAAATCAGAGCTTGGCCTGCAAACGTCCTTGCGCAATTCAACTTTCTGCATTGGGACGCCAGGTAATTTTGCTTTTCAATATCTTCAGCGTTTGATTTCCTGGATTGCCAACATTACACTGTTTTTCCTCTTTTGGGCTTTCTGCAGTGGGGCCACACAATTTGGTTGGCAGACATTGGATTTACAAACCGAACCTTCTTGCAGAAACAGACAATTTGCCTCTGACCTTTATTTTCAATACGTGTGGCCCTCGTTCAGGGCACTGTGGGAATACCTTGCAATTGCTTTTCTGGATTGCCTGAGGAGTGTACGCCAATCCATTAGTACCGCGCTGAGGTTTCCACAGTTTTTCCAAAGCAAAGTGAGAGTTTTTGTGGGATTGATTGTGATTTTTTCTTCATTTGATCGGGCACCACATCAGAAACACCAAGTAACAGTGAGGGCACAGCTTCCATTGATCACGATTGGCCGCAAACCTGGTCCCAAGTCCAGGTGCTGGTTCCTTTTTGCATTGCTGTGTTGCATTGGACCTCCCTTTTTTGTTCCAATGGACAGATGTGAGACTGGAACTGGTAGGAGCGAGGGTTACACCTCAGCCATGGGAGGTGTTGAAACGTCCAGATGGTATGTTTCTAGTTCTTCACAGGTTGACGTGAAGCTACATGGCATGCAGCCACCAATGTGCGGTAGCACCAAACCGGAGCTGACCTCATGCAGAGCCTCACCAGTGGTGAAACGTAGCCTTCACCGCGCGCAGAAAAGGGCCCACATACAGGGTTTTGCCTGGTATCGTGGGAGATGCTTGACCCCCAATGATTTCATCAAAATGGGAATGCAACCAGTGACCCAGCCATCACCTCCAATCAAGCCACAAGACATTGAAAAATGCAATGCACACCAGGGGCCCAGACGCCGAATGACATGCCTTTCCTGGAACTGCGGTGGACTTTCTAACCATAGAATGGACGAGTTAAAGCATTGGCTCACCATCCAGAAGATTCAGATTGCTGTCATTTCGGAAACCAGATGGTCATTTGATGCTGAATGGAGTGATTCTGGTTGGCACCATATCCACAGTACTGATGTTCACTGTAAGGGCTCTGGTGTGCTTGTGCTGCTTTCAACAAAGTTATGCACCGTACAAGATATCAGATGGAATGCCATAATTCCTGGACGCCTTGTCCATGTCCGCATTCTCATGCCCACACGGAATGTCGACGTGATTGGATGCTACCAACATGTGCATACAGGTCAAAAACGCTGCCTGCAAAACCGTGAGGTCCTTTGGAATGCCTTGGAACAAACCTTGCGACAGTTGCCGGCAAGGAACACAGTAGCCATGTTGGGAGACATGAATTGTAGCCTTCCTGAATCTCCCGGAATCTGCGGCACCAGTTTTTTCAGATGGCAAGGAAAGCCAAAGCAAGGCCCCTGTCATGCTGATGGCAAGCGATTTCTCTCCATTTTACGCCAGTTCAGCCTTGTGGCATTGAATACATGGGATGCTAGCCAGAGCCCAACTTTTGCGCAAAACGGGGCTGCCAGCAGAATTGACTTCGTATGTACACGTATGCAACATGCTGATGGCCAGGCTAAAGCTGTGCAATGCCTTTGGAACGCCCCATTTATGCCCATCACACAATATGGACATGCACCATTGCTTTGCCATTTGGCACGATACTGGATCCCGCCACCCAGTCAGCCCATGCATGGCCTCACGCCGCATCAACGACAGAGAGGACGTATGGCTAAACTTTCCAACAGCTCAGACTGGCAGGAATTTGTGACTCACTCTGCCTCTGCAGTTTGGAGGTGTTTTGACGATGTTCTCAGAAACCAATGCCTTGAACTCCAGGACGTTCATGACACTGCCATGAAAACATTCTCAGATTGTTTTCCAGCCATGAGTCGACCGAAACCACCTGAACCTTGGACACAAAATGTTCATACGCTGAATAAGTGGCAGCACAGACAGCTGCTTCAGGCTGCTTCTGACCGATCAGTCAAGGGTCTTTTTGATGCCTGGTTTCATGCTGCCAAATTTCAGAAACTCACCCGGTGCCATAGACGCCATGCAAAGCAGCTGCGCAAACATCGTTTTGAGGAGACATTGAGACAAGCCAATTTTGCTGCCGCATCACATGACACGCATCAGTTGTTTGATCTTATCAATAGATTTGCTCCTAGAACTCATCGACGTCGAGTGCAGTTGCGCAGTGAATGTGGAGCCCTAATGACCCCCTCTGAAGAACGCAGCATGCTTGTTGCCTATGTGAGAGAGACTTGGAGGGGACCCCTCCTGACACCCTTGACCTGTGATGAAGCCCCAGGAGTACCCTTCACAGTGCAAGACCTTGCTGCTGCCTTGCGGAAGATACCTTCACAGAAGGCCACTGCTGCACCATGTGCCCCGGGTATTGTTTGGAATTCCATTGCTGAAACCATTGCACCGATGCTGCATGCCACCTTGACCAATTGGTGGAGTAGGAACCCCCCCTGGATACCAAAATCATGGCGTACGGGATGGCTGCAACTCATCCCAAAACCCTCCAAGCCCCCAACACGGCCCCAAAATTTAAGACCTCTTGCACTCCAATGCCCGTTGGGCAAGGCTGTTTTGGGGCTTCTCATCAAAATTGCGGCCCTGCAGGCAGATGACGCCTTCAGACCGTGGCCAATCTGGGCCTTCATGAGATCCCGCTCAACGCATGACCCACTTTTGAAAGTGGCTATACATTGTAGAGAAACCCGTGCCTTGATCAAGAACCAGCGTTCCACTCCTCAGACCCGTGCCAGTTCTGTTGTCAGATGGCCCATATGTGGGGGGATCCAAGTCTTTATAGACCTTGAGAAAGCTTTCGACTGCATCAATCGTGTCAAATTGTTTCATAAGCTTCACCTTCTTGGTATTTCAGAATCAATCACACAGTTGCTGCAGTGCTGGCACGTTGAGACTCCTTACATAGTCACGCATGGGGGTGAGAGTGTCGCTGTAGATGTATCCAAGGGCCTTAGGCAAGGATGCAAGGGGGCGCCATTTTTATGGAACTGCATGATGGTTTTGATGTTATTGAAGATGCAAGCGTACCTCCCCCTTGCGTGGATCCAAGACCATCTTTCCATTTACGCCGACGATTGTCATGTTGGTGGGACCTTCAGAAACATCCAGGAGTTTGAATTTTTGCTTCATGCCATTGGTATCCTTTTTTCCCTGCTACATGAGTTTGACATGACTTTGAATCCCACCAAGTCAATTGCCATACTTGCCATGCATGGACCAAAGAGTCGCAAAGTCAGAACTGCCTGGGTTCAACGTGACCACCGCGGCGAGATGCTGAAAATCCCAATCACTGGCAAGCCACATGTGTTGATTCCTATCAAAGAGAAGGCCACATATCTAGGATGCATCATGAGCTACCAGCATTTTGAGGATGACACCACTTGGCATAGGGTCAAATTTGCAAATGTTGGGTTCATGCGTTTGCGTAGATGGCTTTGCAACCGAAACCATTTCTCCTTGCAGCACCGTCTCAGCTTGTGGCGTGCATGCATTCTCCCAATCATGACATATGGTGTTTTTGCAGTGGGCACCACAGTCAAAGGCCTACAGCATATGCTCACCCAGCTTGGCATCATGCTCAGACGCATAGTTGGAGATCATGCACATCATACACGTCACACCAATTTTCAGGTTTTTGAGACATTTGACTTGCCACGCCCAACTGACCTTTTGACTGCAGCCGTAGAAACCTTGCAACGGTCCATTGCCCAGAGAGACCTCTCACTTGGACCTGCTGACATTGCCTTGAAGTTGGATTGGAGTCACTTAGACACTGTTATTGGCACCATCACACAAGCTCAGGCTGCCCAATCATTGCAGCGTGCTGAGACTGCCTTTTCAGGTGCGGGCGCAGATCCACCAAAATGCTTTTTTTGCAATATTTGCTCTTTTTGTAGCAATTCAGTCTCGGCTTTCAGACGGCATTGCACCACTGCTCATGGCTTGTCAATGTTTCGCATTTTTGCACAACCCATGCATTCATACACAACAGATGGTTTGCCTACTTGTAAATATTGTGCCCATAGCTTCACAACCTGGCGTAGCTTTCGCACTCACATTGAACGTGGATGCCAGGCTCTGATCCTTGGGCCTGCAAGCTGCACTGGCATACCATTGACACTGCCGATGACTGCATTGAATCCACCGAGAGTTGATGCAGCGTTGAGAGGTGCACAGATGTTGACAGAAGCAGACTTGGCTCTCCTCAAGAGCAAACCATGGAGCAACAGATTATTTCAAATCATTGCCGATGATACCCTTGATGCACTTGAGCGAGAACATGAGGCGTGTGGATATCTCTCCAGCTATTGCTGTATCTGTGGGCAACACCTGAATCGAACGCAGGACGTCCACTTGCATTACAGAACTGAACATGCTGCTTACTGGGATTTTGTGCCACAGAAATCTCGGATGCTTACAAACATCCATAGCTCTGAGAGCCCATGCCCTCATTGCGGAGGATACTTCAAACAGCACCAGTGCCCAGTCTGGACCCAAGTAGCTGTACTCATTCTCCACGGTGGAGGACTGCATGCCGTTGAGAGTGGCCCACCTGAGGCTGTTGTCCGATGTGACATTTGCCTGCAGTCTTTTGCTGATGCAGCCCAATTGGCATCCCACCTGCAACATGATCACAAATTGGCTGGCATCACGTTCAACGCTGCCAGAGACAGCCTGAATGCTGAGGCCAAATGTGCACACTGCTGGACAGAATACTCCACCATGGAGAGCTTGCGCAGTCACATATCCCAAGGCAGATGTAGCAGCTTTGATGCTTTTGCCGCCACAGAAGTGGTCCCGCTCACACAGGCCTGGTTGGACATCTGCCTGCATGGACGCATGTATGACCAGCTGAGAGCGCCTATGGACAGACTTCACCTCACTCTCAAGTGTGTGCAATGCAAGCAGGCCTATCAGAGAGCAGGTGATCTTGCCAACCACCTGATGACAAACCACTCCAATTTATGGAGGCGGGCACAACATTTGACGTTGATGATGGTTGATCTGGTTTTTTCACGCCAAGGGTGCGTGTGCAACCCGCAGATTCATCAGCTGCGACAAAATCATGTGTGCCTGCCGTTGAGGCAGATTGCTATGATGTATTATCGCCTTGACCAAGTTCCTTTCATGCCGATTCAGCTCCATGACCAGGTCCTCCAACAACTGCTGCATTGTTCCATCCCACGGGAATTGCGATTTTGCATCACCAAGCTCATGGCTGACCGCGCTTTTCAAGACCTCTGGACCAATCCTGAGGTGACACAGATCTTGCGCAAAGTCTGCCTGCAATGTGGAACAGAACACCATGCTGGAGTGCTGTGCCGCCACATCCAAGAGGCGCACTTGTGTGGACATCGTTTTGTGGAGTTTTATTTTGACACGTTGGTGCCTGCCATTGCCAAAACCCTGCAGAATGATTTTCAGTGTGACCTTTGCTGCCAAGTTTACAATTTGCCGCCTGATCATGACAGCCCTGCCTCACTTGATTCCAGAGCAGTCTTGGTCCAAATTCATCTTCACGGCAACTGCCCGGTGATTTTGCAGAGCTGCATTTTGCTTGCGACAGCACTTCATGGAGGGCGACTCGGCTATGATTGGCATGGATCAGAGCTCCCAGGAACAAATCAGGGAGACTTTTCAGTTCCTACAACCCCTGCTGGACCAGAGTCTGAAACTCCTGCCAAACCCACGGGCACCCAAACAAAGACGCACCGAAGACAAGATCAAAGCAAGTCAAGCCGATCAAGGTCCCATAGGAGCAGAGCCACAGAAGTTGCTGCAGTACCTCCAGGCCTTGGGGCAGCTGGTGCTCCGACAAGAGCACAGTCTGAGCTTGCTGCAAAGCACAGACTCTTTCATTCTCTACTTCCAGCAGGACAAAGAGGGCTCCCTACAGGGATTGCTTCTGGAGACACAGAAGTGGCATCAGCAACGCCTTCAAGACCCGGCGACCATCCAGACGACGTTGCGCCAACACCTGTGCCAACACCTCCTCCTGGACTTGCTGAACAGGGTCACCAAAGTCTCCCAGAGCAAACCGGAAGATCCTCTCTTCCGCCTGTGCCGCGAGAAGAACCTGATCTTGGAGGACATGAGCTGGCCGTTCCTCCGATGG